CCGACAACATGAGCGTGTTCTTGCGCGCCAAATTTGTGTCATATTGCTAACAACAGTTAAGAACCAAGGTGAAGATCAAGGCAGCGTGGGAAGGTTATGAGGTGTGACTTCTTCTCCTCCGCAGTGGACCTCTAACAGTCTATGTCCGTGTTTGGAAGTCTTTCAGTTTCCCGACTTTTTCCCACACATCTTAGAGGTGAAAGTTCTTAAGTTGAGCTCGCACGAGTTAAACATGGGATGTTTTTGGCGACCTAGCTTACCCTTACGTGGTGCTACTTGTACTGGCTGACACACCAGTGTTGCATTTCGCAAAATGAACTGGGGAGCTCAGCTCATAGGCAAACAAATCTACCCTGCCTAAAAATCTGAGTTATCCCCAGACTTTGGCCCCTTCTTGCATCCAGGAACCATGGGCTAAGCAGTCGTTGGTAGACATATATTTCATTACGCAACTGAATTTAGGTTTGCAAGGAAATCTATGTGTCACTATCCCCTAACGATCTAAACATGTACTCGCACATTTTGTACTTGGCGTGCTGAATGCATGCGAAAATCATTGCTAAAATAACGACGCAAGCCACATTTTAGGAAGGTAGTTGGATTCGAGGAGGGACGGCTTTCCTTTGGGACTACCATGTTAAAGGGATCGTATATGCAGAACACATATTTGCCGTCACCTCAGAGAAAGACATTATTTGATTTGTATTACGGACGATTCATATCACCTAAAGAGCAAACTTTATGGCACTATATCCCGACAGAGTTTCCAGTTCAACACCAGAGTGGGCGATTAACTGCTGCCATCATAATCTATGAAATAGATCACCAAGAACAGTACGCCGAAAGCGCTGTTTTTTTTAGCTCTTACCCTTACAGCCACACAAGCCACATTTTAGACAAGTTTAGACAAGTGTCGTGCGTTTTCATGACATGGGCCTGAGCATTTATTTCTACCCATGCTATAGTTTTATGTCATACGTTCCGAAGGCGTGAAGGTGTTTGCCCTAATTCCAAAGTGTTATTAGCCCAACTGAATGCCACAGCGTCAACGACTTTTTCAGATTGCTAAACTTACAAGGGCGCTGCTTGTGCACAGAGGAGCTGCATTTTTAGTGATGCTAATATGCAACCACATTTTTGAACGTTAAAGATGTCGTAAGTAGTCTCCCCTATCAACAGCATCGTATGAGGCAGTGAAACTGAACATAAAACGCCACGAAGACAGCCATTAAATGCGAGAGTGGTGCGATATCAGATGTGAGGTACGTCATGAGGTGCGAGGTACGTCATGAAGCTCTCGTTCAGAACCAAACCCACCGTAACTGAAATGTCCTCTGAATCACGCTCACGCTCACGGCAACTGAAGTGAATCTCTGTTAGTCTTCAGCAGTTTCTGGACCTCTGTGATAGCTATGTCAAACTATGTCAAATGACACGATGCTGTTTATAAAGGTAGGAAGACGGAGTGCATGAAGATACTTCCCTAAATATGCTATGAGATGGCGCTGACTACCTTAGGGGTTTCAGGCCTTCAGGGTTTGTAGCGTTTGTCTAATGTACGCTGGCTCGTTCCCATAACTTGGTTTTGGTTACAATGGGAACACGACATGCGATAACTCTAAGATCCAACAATAATATCACCTGATGCACCTGATGCACAGCGCCGCAAAGCGTTCCATATATTGATGTTCTGTGGATTTCCTGCTGTGCAGAAATGCTCGCTTGCTGCGTACTGCTCATTGCAGACTGCCCCGATAAGTCGCATTCTGTCCACGCTGGGGTGCTGTGGTTCAAGGCGTGCCTCTACAATGCTTCCATGACACTTTTCGCATATGATAAACACAAGTTTGCAGCGCATCTACCATGTCTGCAGATCAGTGTCGTGACAATTTCGGCGTGATGCATAGTAAGACGTCGTGTAAGTTTCTCATACGTGTTTGCACTGCGAGCTGCCGTGTGTTGTTTTTGTTGATTCCGTACGGAGACATGTGATGACTTGATCATGTGACTAGGACATATCTGTCGTTTGTCGCCGACATATCGTCTAGCCATGCCGTCTGAGCGAACTCCGCATAGGCTTTCCCGTTTAGCTGGGCCTCTCCAGCTGCCAACGCCACTGCAGACTCGACCGACGGGCCATGCCGCTTCAGAGATGGCCATGTCCATATGCCTGGCCATGCCGCTCCATAGCCCGGCGTGCCCATAGGCCCGCCCGCCCTGGCCATGTAACTCCATAGGTGACCGTCCTTACAGACCGCTCTGTCAAACCGCGCCGCTCTATAGGTGACCGTCCTTACAGACTGTTCTGTCAAACCACTCCGCTCCATAGGTGACCGTCCTTACAGACTGCTCTGTCAAACCGCGCCGCTGCGTAGGTGACCGTCCTTACAGACTGTTCTGTCAAACCGCGCCGCTGCACAGGTGACCGTCATTACAGACTGCTCTGCCAAACCGCGCCGCTGCACAGGTGACCATTTCTCTACATTCTCCCGCCTCACCGTGCTGCTTCAGAGGTGGCCGTCTGATAGTTATGAACCCTCCTGTATGACCACCTCACTCCAGAGGCGGGCACCTTACGGAGGTGCCCTCCTTACAATACATTCGAGAGGCAACCGCCCATGAAGACTCACCCTCCGAACCACGCCGTTTCAAAAGTCAGGCCCCTGTAGAAGCGTCCGTCTGACACGTCACCCCAGGGGACGTCCCTATAGACCCGTCCAACCAGTCGTTCCGCCAAAGAGGCGGGCGAAGTCGCCACGCCGTCTGCTCCTCCCCGAGCGAGCCATTTCGCCGCGAGCTCGGCCGGCTCGACTTTGGACGCGGCCGCGGGCGGAGCAGAGTCGAGCCGGCGCTCCGGTGCGGCGCGCTGCCGAACGGAGGTGTGGATGTACGGTCGGTTGGTGCGTCTGCACTCCGTACACCAGACATCGCTGGTCGGCGGTGGACGATGTTTGCACGCCCCGGGGGCTCCTCCATCGTGCACGCCAGGTGATCGTGACACTTGCGCTGGACGTCGCTCGTGACCTCCGGTCACTCAGTATGGCCGCGGTCAGCTGACTGTTGCGCTGTTTGCGCTGCTTGCCTGCACGGTTGTTGCCGAGCACCATGTCGGGATGCGTGCACACCTGGCAAAATGGTCGTTTACAAGGTTGTTGTTAATACGTTCTGGTCGAAGCAGAAGTTTCCGAAGCAATACCCTTATGGCGGCCTCCGGCTCAGTTCTCCAAGTTTGTAG